TATATGTATGTTTAGAACAGTCATCTAAAAACTGACGCTATGTTCACTCTGAGTTGGTTATCTCCCCCCCCCCCCACACCTCACCACCACATGTCACACCTAGGTATACACTGGGTTGGATAATTGACCTAAAATGACCGGACAGTAAATAGGTGTGTGATCTAACCCATACCTTTCACTATGTTAAAAAATGATCTTTAAGGAACACGAAGAAACTGTAGTTAATTAAAAAATATATGATCTGAACTGTATGACCGACATTTAGTTCAACGTAGGCTGTTATTCCGAATGTTTTTCTATAATACTGAAAAGCGTGGTTTTATACCAACTCTGATTTCAAAAACTTTCATTATGCTGTAATACTTTAGCATTTATGATGACGATATATTTAATTCTAATTATAGACAAAAACATTTTTGTTAACACGAATAGTTTTAAACAATTTCATTATATTCTAAAGTAATTATTTATTTGTTTTGACATTTATAATTAAATGTTTAGATATATACCTATTTATATTAAGAGAGTGATTATTTCCCCTATTTCACTTGTCTTAAATAATTTCCCAGGAATTATTATGTAAGAAATTTTTTACAAGAATTACAAAACAGATTGTGTTACATTCATTGTTTTTGGTTGTAAAGTGTGTATATTTTGTTTGTTTTTTGTTTAGATTGATACAATTTTTGTTTTGTCGGCCTATATTGTGTGTAATGACATACAGCTAGTAAATATATATATATATATATATATATATATATATATATATATATATATATATATATATATATATATATATATATATATTACACGTATATAGAACGTGTTAAAAATTCGGCGCCTTTTTTGCTCTTTTCGCTCCCCCTACAACGAAAACCTGGATACGCCTCTGCTATAGATATTTGTAGTTGAGGGAATTTTTCTCTCAGTACATTCGTATTTAAACAAGCGGTGGTGAGGGAGTAGTTGAGGGAATTTTACTCTTGTTACATTTGTATTTAAATAAGCAAAACTGCAATACTTATAAAGACACAACACTTACTATTAAAATACATGAACAGCCAAAAAACTTTAAAAAAATTTTTTTGTTTCGTTCGTTTTATAAATATAATTGTTATTCGTATTTAATGGGCACAGTAATGAGAAGCGACACTATAAGGAATAAAACAAATCAACAACGGTACAGCTTATCAAAGTTATGAAAAAAAAATCTAATATCTGCACTTGCTTATGAGGCTCTACACGTGGACAGCAGGAGGTGGTTATTTACTGAACATGTCTTTGCCAGCCTTAACTTTCGTGAGATGGCCTTCACATATCAGGCTACGCTTCAGGTATCCAACCATTTTATACTTTCTACTTCAATTTATTTTCATTTGAGTTGATGAACCTGTATTTGGGTGTATGGTCCCTACCCCGGCGTGGTACAACGACATAAACATAAACATTAATACAATAGCAGACAGAGAACTTAATTATAATTCTCATTAGACTTGACTAAAACATTAGTGTTCAAGCAATTTGACTAAACACCTAACAGTAAAAAGTTTTATTAAAATCGGATTGTATTAAAATATTTGTGTTTGCATTTATCTGTCATTGACTTAAATCAAAGTCAAAATTAAAGAGGAAAAATATTTGTGGATAAAATAAACAATCAAAGCATATCCGGGATGATTGATCTAGAGAGTACAATCTTGAACTTGATCACCTTGTATGTAATCAACTAGATCGGTTGTTCATACACTTGTTAGTGATAGACGAGTAATTTTTTTTATCTAATGCAAGAGGCTTTAGTTTGTTACTGGAAGCAAAGTCTAATAATTTTCTTCTAAAACAAGAAGAAAGAATGCAGCTAAATAACAATATTCATTAAGAAAAATAATTTTGAATCAGGTTTAAATATCAAAACAAAAAACCAGGAACCAAAACTTCAAATGGTTAGAATCAATCTAGTATGCAATATATTTAACTAATAAAACATGTTATTTTATATGTGTGTAATGAGACCAGTGGTTTATCTAGATGGCAATGTGAATAGCGAAATCTTTTATTAAATACAAGTTTCCTGTGTTAGGTGATATTCTTCTTTCTTCTTCTGCCTTCTTGATTTTAGTGTTAGAAGAGATTCCTTAAAACACAATTAAGTATACTTGCTAAATGGTTATGCGCCATTTAGGCCGTTGACTACGATTTTATACTGCTTTTCGTTTTGGATTTGCTTCCCTAGCCTTTGTCCAAAAAAAATCTGATGGAATACAATTTATAAAAAAAAAATATTAAAGCGATCATAAACTGTTAAAAATTTAGTAATATTATATTTCATAAAATAATCTGATTCTCAAACAACAGATACGCAAGATGCTTGTGTAAAAATCTGTCATGTCCCATATTCAGACCAGTTATATGTGATGTCCTCTAGCAGTAGAGCGTGGCGTTCATTTCACATACGAACAGGCAGGTTATGTTGCATTCAACGTCTATCATAAGATGTTTTTGTCGGAGATCAGAAAAAACACATCTCAGTACGTTATTCTGGTTGTTTGGCTCTCCTAAATCAAATAAAATGTAGATTACAAATCTCTAGAAATTTTACCGTTAGATGGTATTTGTTTTATTCATTTGTTCCTGAAATGCGTTTACGGCATTAGTTTTGTAAGAGCGATATTTTTTTTACAAATGTTTTCTTTCTAAAACATGTAGCCCGTATCTAACCTAAACATTAAACTTATAAACAACGATAAAGTTATTGCCATTGATAAAGTTCAATTTTAACATCGCTGGGTACTCTTATCACAATAAATTAATAGGTAATTTCTTTTAGTGCACATAATTATGTATATCTGAATCCAAAGAAAGAGTTAAGAACCACTGTTATAACAATTTTCGAACGACAACGGCATTAATAATACTAACCTTGAAATAACAGGTACAGTGAGATGACAAACCACAACTTCCCCAGCAGGAATGATACAATGTTGAGTAAGTACGTGATGTACTGAAATCTTCCTTTAGTATACATAAAATTTAACTAAGAAAGATAAGAGGCCTGTTGTTTTAACAAAAATGACAATTATTGGATGATTTAAAAGATGACAAAATAGTTCAAATTACTATTAAAGGATCTGTTTATTTTTTAAAGATTACTTTTCTATTAGTCCAAACAAAGTGACGTTAGCCTAGCATCCGTTTATACATCTTAATGTATCTATTTGCGCAAATCATAACAAAAATTGTGTTTGTTTATAAGAATCGTAACATTAACTCTATATTCTTATAAACACAATAAATCACCGTTTTAATCACTTCGAAATTGTAAAGTATCAATTAGTTTCATTAATTTTTAATGCCTAATTAAACATATAATTAAATTAAAAAATAGATAGACTTGTATTATCGAAGTGGAATGTATCTGGAAAGTTTGAACAAATTCGCTGCATTGGAAGTGTGTAAAATTGAGTTACAAGTTTTTCCACAAACCCACAAACAAACAAACAAACAAACAAACAAACAAACAAACAAACAAACAAACAAACAAACAAACAAACAAACAAACAAACAAACAAACAAACAAACAAACAAACAAACAAACAAACAAACAAACAAACAAACAAACAAACAAACAAACAAACAAACAAACAAACAAACAAACAAACAAACAAACAAACAAACAAACAAACAAACAAACAAACAAACAAATAAACAAACAAACAAACAAACAAACAAACAAACAAACAAACAAACAAACAAACAAACAAACAAAAAAACAAACAAACAAACAGACGTTGCGAACTAAATAAAAGCTTGTACAAATTGAATGCTAACGGGCAAGAACGTTGTTTATAAGCATAATTTAAGTATCTGTGTGGTAAAGGGTTGGTCCTTTTATTTTTTTTTCTATGATTTATAACTTTTTACTTTCTCGTATACGAAGTAGACCTACAGAGGAAGTATTGTAATCTTGAAAAAAGTCGAAATCGAGATTTTTTTCTAGAGTCGAAAAAAACAAGTTTTTCAATCTGGTCCGTCCGTCCATCCCGTCCGTGTATGATAAGAGCCAAGAATTGTTGGAATTCTAGTTGAATAATGATAGTTCAATGTGACACCCATACACGACATCATGTCCAATGTTGTATGGATATTAAAAAACTTTGACCTACATTGCTTCGGTCTGTCTGTTTGTCTTCTTGTATTCAATGTTAGTTTTTTGGATGCCTATTTTCTGACTTTCTTTCTATTAGTCTGTCCTTTTATTCGTCCGTCTGTTAGTATTTCTGTCTGTTTTTCTAGGTCTGTTTTGTCTTTATTTTAGTCTATCATTCTTTCTGTATTTTTTTTTTTTACTTTATGCCTTTGTTCTATCTGTCCTTCTCTCATTCCGATCATCATTTTCTTCACAATAAAATCTCATAAAAAATTAGTTGTTTGAAAGTGCATTTTAATTTTTATTGAAAACTAGCATTACAACACTTTCATCAAATAAGAGACCCGAGACTTCCGGGTTAGCAGTCGAGCTCTCTAAAACTAATCCACGACACAGCTGTATTATTATTATGTAAACTGTATTGACTGTTTAAGCAATACTAAACTGGTACTGCAGGCTCGTATGTAACTATTTTACTGACAAATCGCAGGAAAAATACACCTTATTTGTAAACAAACATCGAGACTAGCGGTTGATGTTGTTTTCAAGAGTCGCTAGACTTGCATTTCATGCAAGAATAACAGCATATGGGATATGAGTCGCTTCATCACAAGACATCTTTTTACAGATTTTTACTTTATTTATCAAAAAATAAATAAAAGTTATACAATAAAACCCTTTTATTTTCGCTAGTGTAAAAATCTGTTGTATCCCACATTCAGACCAGTTATAGCTAAATAAAATATCCTTTAGAAGTAGAGTGAAATAAATAGAAGTTGTTCAATTAAACCTTTCCTTTTCACTAGCGTAAAGTTCTGTCCTATCCCATATTCAGACCAGTTATATGTGATGTTATTTAGAAGTAGAGTGTGGCGTTGAATTCACACACGAACAGGGCGGTTATGTAGCATTCAACGTCTGCCATAAGAATTTGGCCAGGAATGGTGCAAACACATCTCTGTCTGTTATTGAGGTTGTTTGGATCGCCTAAATAAAATAGAAATTATTTGGATTACTAAACTCTTGAATTCTTTATATGGCAATAATTGTATTAATAATTAGTTTCTTGGAAGCGCTTTGCAAAATTATTTTTGTTAGTGCATTCTTTTTTGTGTGCTTTACTATAAATGTATCTGATCTTAACTTAAGTTTGTATTGAACTTCTAAGCCATTGATATTATTAAACACAATGCTGAATACTTTTAATACATTCATGAACGATTTTTCTATTGCACACAGTTTAGTATTTTTGATTTCAAAAATCAAACTCTAACTAAGAATGTGTTTGTTATTAGATTATACTAGTGATATACTATCACATAAACGTTATGCTACTGATATAAGACCACATAAACGATGTAACCTTACCTTTTATAAACACGTTCGGCATACCAGTGTATATGCTACCATCATCATCCCATATAAACTCATAAGCTGTAGCGATATCATTCATCCCAATCCATATGTTTGTGTTTAAGGGACGAGATATACTGATAAACAAATCCAGCTTTTCCTGAGTCTTTGGTGTGTAGAGGTGAGCGCCCTTTGCTGTGAAAGTGATCAAAGATATCTTTAAAGTTATTAATCAAACGTGGTACATATTCTAAACAAATTTATTTCAGCTATCAGAAAGATTCAATGAAACCATTGTCTCAATAGCTACTTGATATGAAAAACTGGACATTGTCGTAGGAAACAATTTAACAGTTGTCTTAGTCATCATCCTTTCCCGTTTCTCAACACACATGGAGCAGATGAAGTAGAGTTCAGCTGTTTCCATTCATGACCTCGGTATATGTAGGGATAATGCGTTCAGCCCAACATTAGTTTCCCTTTTGTGAGTAAGGTACCCATCAGAGCTGAGTGAACTCAAAGACGTCCTATTGACTCAGGGTTCGAACTCGAGAATCTTGCTCTATCAATCTAAACCATTCGATCACTCCGTCCCACTCAGCTGGTAGCCGACAAGATCAATTGTCAATAAGATAACTAACTATTCTCACAGTTTATTGTTTGTTATGATTATGTTAAGCTATCTGATAGCAGCTATCACGATGTAAGACTCGAAAGGTTTAGCAATGACCTGCACATTGAACTATACAGATTTTAACAAACCTCTGCAGTCGTCCCTTGCCGATGTAAAGTTGAGCTTGTAGTTAGACAACCAGACGTATGTGACAGTTGTTCCATCAGACATCTTTTTAAATGTTACATCTGTGCTGGTGTAGACAACGGTGTCTTTCCTGTCTTGTGATGTTGTTAGTAAAACCAACCAGGTACCTATATATATATATATATATATATATATATATATATATATATATATATATTATATATATGTAGACAATTATACTTTGACTAGCCGTCCCGGCCAGGCCCTGCTCTGGCTTCTGTGAAAAACCTTTCTGTTAAAGACTATTACCTGTGTGTTTAGTAATCATCATAAACCCGGCATTGCCCACCCAAACCACAACCAACCAAAACCAAAACAACAAAATGCAAACATAACGCTAACACAATTACAAATACAAATGAAAACAAAAACCTAACAACAAACCCAACCACAACCACAAACACCAATACAAACGCAAAGAAAAAACAAACAAAAAAGCAAACGAAAACAAAAACCTAACAACAAACCCAACCACAACCACAAACACCAATACGAACACAAAGGAAAAAACAAACAAAAAAGCAAACTAAACAAACCAAATCCAAACGCAAAACCAACCACAAATACAAACACAAACCCAAAGAAAAAAACACAAACGAAAAAGCAACGAAAACAAACCAAATCCAAACGCAAAACCAACCACAAACACAAATACAAACACAAACCCAAAGAAAAAACGAAAAAAGAAAGAACAAAAACGAACCAAAACGCAACCACTAACGCAAACCCAACCTAAACACAAAGAAAACACTAACGCGTACATAAACGCAAAGTGCTCACAGTCTAGCCCGGGCGGAATTGCCTGTTTCAGCTTAATAAACGACTATAGTACCCCAACTTATTCATAGTCTTTTGCACTCACTTAAACGAACGTAGGCGCCAAACCGAACACGGGAGGCCCGGGGCCCCAAATAGCACCCTGTCTGGGCACCAGAGGACGCCTGGATTCGATTCACTTAAAGACTATAGTAACCTTTCTTATCCATACTCTATCGCACTGTTTAAAGCGAAATTATGCACCATAGCGCTCACAGGATAGCCCAGAGCGCCAAATTGAACCCTGGTGGGGCGCCGGCGGACGCGCCTGTTTCAATTTAATGAACAATTATAATACTCCAAGCTTAACCGTAAAATACCTACAACATTTGCACTTGATCAATCCCCGCTAATTATGTAATTATTTTTTTCCCAACACCAAAACAAAGTAATAAAAAGTAAATTCTTTTCCACTAATGCAATGTTTTATAAAAGGAAGTAATTGTGTTTTCCTAATTTATCAAAGGGAAGTAAGTGCTAAAGGACTAAATATAAATAATTTTCAGACATAATTAGAGTTTTTGTAAAAGATGATATTTTTTAAAAATTGTATTTAATGAACATGCCGACAATTATTACTATCAGTTTGAAAAATGAAAATTATTTCCCAACACTTTCAATAGTAATTTTTTAACTCATAAATGTAGACTATGAGCACGATAAAAATCTAACACTTAAATCCATCGAAGTATGTCAACGACAAACTTATTACAAACATACATGAAAAACGTGGGGCGCCGAAGTAAAAGTTTTTTATCGGTCATTGTTAATATAAGATGTAAAAGGTATATTACTATTGATTAGATAATACTATTGACTTTTATTAGGGAGCTTGTAGAGAGTCAACAGTATTAGAAACTGTAAGAAAATCACGGCGCCCCACGTTTTTCATCGCTTATAGTAGAGTGATCGCTTGAATTATTGTGATGTATAGCATTTATTTTCTACTTTTTAGTTCAATCAGAAAACGTGGGTTTTTTAAAACTTTTTTAATGATAATTATTTTCTACTTTTTAGTCTTTGTCTGTTTGTTTGCATTAAAATCTTGCTATCGATTTTATCTTTTCGCATTCACTTTTTTTGGGTCAACGAAGACAACTCGTAAAAAGACAACTCGTAAAAAACACGTTGTGTGAATACGTTACTGACTAGAACACATAGATTTGAACCCGTGTCGAGTGGGATAGCAATCGTGTGCCCAACCACTCTACCATATCGTCTCCCCCATACTGGTTTGTACACAAACACCGCGTGAACACTACTCAGTAAGCAAAAAGAGGGAGAGTACCGAACCTTGTTTTCATCAAATTACAGTTACTGGGTTATGTCCCTTTTTCCCCACGTTTTTTGTACAATTATATAGCGGTCTAAAATTATCCAAAAAATGTTTCCATGGATCAATTTAGTAATAATAACAATTGAATATTCAATTGTCATCGGAAACAAAGCTTCCCTGAAAATTTCAGCGCGCTAGCTAACTGGGAAGTGCCCGAAATTTCGATCGCAAGATTTGATTGGAAAAACAAACAAACAAACAAACAGAGGCGAAAGCAAGTTAAAGAAAACGTGGGAAAATAAAATCAGGGATACATTTTTAACACGTTTTTAACACGTTTTTCTTAACTCAGCTTCGCGTTTGTTTGTTTGGTTGTTTGGATGTTTGTTGTTAAAATTGACATCGAAAATTAGCCCACTTCTGATTGCTCTAGAGACCTGAAATTTGGCATGCATGCTACTTTCGCCTAACAATTTCAGATGCAATCATAAAAACTAGCAATTAGTGACCGTAATTAGCTTAATTTAATCACGCCCCAAGGACCATAAAATTGAGGACATGATTTCTAAAGATACCGACAAGACTGGAGGCCTATTGACACAGTTACTTCGGCCCCAATCGATGTGAGCGCGCTGGCCGTGATCGTATAGTGGTTAGTACTTCGCGTTGTGGCCGCGACAACCCAGGTTCGAATCCTGGTCGCTCAAGATTTTTAGTCCGTGTATTTATAAACACTTTTTTAAAAACCACGTTTTTCATGTGCAGCAACGGACTAAAAAGGAGAAAATAAAATACTTAAAAAAAAACTTTTTAAAAAACCACGTTTTTTATGTGTAGCAACGGACTAAAAAGGAGAACGGACACGGTAACACATTGTTAACGGTGACACGGTTGGTACGCTGGGCATGCTAAAATACACATAAACACGTTTTTCCTTAACTCAGCTTCGCGTTTATTTGTTTGTTTATGGGAGATTTGATCACGTGATTCGTGAGTAGATCTCCACGCCAGCAACGTAAATTACACCCTTTCTCTGTTTAAAGCGTATCGGTCGCTCAAGATTTTTTTAGTCCGTGTATTTAAAAACACTTAGTCAAGTCATACTTAATCAAGTGATTAGATAAAGTAGAAAATAAACTATATAAAAAAACTTTTTAAAAACCACGTTTTTCATGTGTAGCAACGGACTAAAAAGGAGAAAATAAAATACTTAAAAAAAACTTTTTAAAAAACCACGTTTTTCTTGTGGACTAAAAAGTAGAAAATAAATTTTCATACATTTGATGACAAAAAACGTGGGTCGGGCAGATGGGTCGGGAAATTTGATGGTGAACGTACCCACGTTTTTTGTCATCAAATGTATGAAAATTTATTTTCTACTTTTTAGTCCACAAGAAAAACGTGGTTTTTTAAAACGTTTTTCTTAACTCAGCTTCGCGTTTGTTTGTTTGTTTGGATGTTTGTTGTTAAAATTGACATCGAAAATTAGCCCACTTCTGATTGCTCTAGAGACCTGAAATTTGGCATGCATGCTACTTTCGCCTAACAATTTCAGATGCAATCATAAAAACTAGCAATTAGTGACCGTAAT